CGTTGGAGGCATTTGGCATTAACCAGTCAACTTGAACATGTCCTTAATCTAGAGCCAATCATTGCACACCTAGAGGAACTTAACATTAGAGCCCCAGAAGACCTGGATATACAGGGGGAATTCCTTCTCGTATGCCCCAGAAGACCGGGGTGTACACTTGGAGGAGCTTGAACACCTGAGCTCCAGGAAAGCTACGTATCACCTAGGGGAGTTGCACAATTGTACCCCGTAGACATAGGTGTGCACCTGGAAGAACTAATACCTGAGCCCCCGTGCACCTGTTCATTGTAGCATTGTTTGCAGTCAGGACATTGAAACAACTTATGTCTGCAGCGTGATGCGATATAATTTTAACTACTGAGCAAGAAAATGAACAACTTGAGGTCTGTCTTGGTGTGCATTCCCCAAGAGGCACATCCTGAGACTGACTCCAGGGCAAGTGGTTTTCTTGGGTCACCCCAGAAAGCACCAATAGGAGAGTGGGTGGGTGAGGCAGGGAAGAGATGGCAGCCACCAAGAAAGGTGTGTCCTCAAGCAGGTGACCACACGGGCCGCTGGAGCTTAATCCCACTGTGATACCTGGGGAAATAGCATCCCTCGTGTGCCTCAGTTTCCTTGTCTGTATTTGCATGCCAGCCCCTGCTGGTCCCTGCAGAGGCTGCTCCCAGGTGGCCTTAACTTCTTCAACACATCCAGCCTGCCCTGCACGTGAGAGCGAGTCCTCAGGCCAAGAGATGCAGGTGCAGGTGCTGGCCGCTGGGGGTGGATCTGGGTAAGGATGAGGTCTGGATGGCAGGTCCTGCCCAGTGTACGTTATCAGCACGGATAAATGTGGAAGATGCAATGTCAAGTGAGAAAATCAAGTTGCTGAAAGCATGCCACTTATAGAAATGTAAACAGGTAAAACAGTATTCTCTGTTGCTTATAGATGCATGAGGGTGGCAGGTGGGCAGAGGCATGCGTGGGAATAAGGAGCCCCACGTCCAGGGAGGTGGGTCGCTTGCAGGGAGGGAAGGTGTCCAGGTGGCTCGCCTCTCTCTGTAATGATCCTTCCTGCCTTTTCCTACCTTGAGGTTTGATATCTGCATGGTAATGGGATAACTGAACTAATCTCAAGTGCACACATACGGGGCTTTGCATATGCATGACCTGAGTAGCCATGGCGGGGAGGAAGATATACAATGTTTCCAGCACTGCCAGGAGCCCTCCCTTATGCCCCTTACCAGTCTGCACCACCCCCACACTTGATGAATTTCATTTTGCAAATGGTTTCAAGCAAATTTGACATAAGATTTGCCAAAGGTGGGTAGTGATGAGTTTGTGGGTGTTTGTTATATTTTTCGCTGTCCTTTTCTGTATCCTTGATGTGTTTCATCATCATCCTCATAGCAAGAAGAGCAGGTTTGGGCAGATGTGGGGACAAGTGGTCCAGGCACAGACAAAGCTTCTTAGTTTGGAAGGAGTTTTCCCAGGCAGTCCTGGAAATCCTGAGAACAGCCTTGTGTCTATAGGAGGTTTCCAAGATGAGAGCTGCTTTTGACCTGAGCGTTTCAAAGCTGTCAAGCCTTGGACAAAGCGTCGCCCTGGAGGGTCCCTTTAACCAGCCCTGCCAGCACAGAGGACATCGGTGCTGCCTGGAAAAGCCGGTCGTGCCTTGGGCAGCACGAGGGCTGGGCCCAGAGCCCCTGCCTGCCCATTCTTTCCGGGTCACAAGCTGCCCATGGTGCCTGTCTCGCTGGCTTGTTTGCAGTTCCTCCGTGGGTGGCCCGAGCCTCCCATTGTTGCATCACAATAGCGGTGGCCAAGCTCGTGTGAAGAAATCGGGACAGGAAGCCCCGATCTAGGCCAGCCGAGAACTCCTGGCTTCCTGCCCTCCCTGGCTGTGCTGGGCGAGGCTGCCTTCATCTCCCTCCAATCTGGGGAGGCTGGGAACCCGACTTCCCGTCTATATGCCAGGCCCTGCTAAAACATCCTCTAGGAACGCCTGTCCCTGTCCCTTGCACCCATTGTCCTTCCAAAAGCAAGATCAGCAAACTTCCCAGGGGCCTGAGTCGAAGCTCCTGCTGTGTGTCAGGCACTGTGCTGGGCACATTCCATACCGTCCTTTGAGTTTTGAGCGCCTGCTCTGTGCCAGGCACTACTTTTGGCCCTGAGAGCACAGCTGTGAACAAGACAGGCAAGGTCCCTCCTTTCGTGGAGCTTCCACTCACTTTATCCTATGAGGTTCTGAAACGTAGGCACAGTATTATGTGATCCCTGTATGTGGGGAGAATAAACTAAGACTCAGAGAGGCTAGTACACTTTCCTGAGGTCACAGCAGGAAGGAGGAAGATTTATGAGTTTAAAGCTTGACCTCTGTTGTCGGACTGGGGGGTTAAGGTTTCATCCCAGCCATGCTTCCTTATGTTGGCCTTTCCCTTGGGAGCTGGTGTAGATCACTTAAGCTCAATTTTCTCATCTGGCAAATGGGCTCCTAATGCAAGATGGGAAGGTAGAAAGTGCATGAAGGCAAGGAGCGCCTCTTGGAGGAGGTGACATTTGAGCTAAGGCCTGGTAGGTGAGAAGGAGCCTGCCGAGGGCAGGACGGGGAGCATCCCGCAGGGACAACATGCGCAAAAGCCCTGAGGCAGGAGTATGTTTGGCAGGGAGATGGGATCTAGAATGAGGATGCAGCTGAAGATTATTGAGGTGCCAGGGGGTGGCATGCTGGGAAGGGAGATCGGAGAGGTTAACAAGGACAAGGCCATGGAGGCCTGATGGGCTGGGGAAGGGTTGGGTTTTAAGTGCAGTGGGAGCCCTGGAGAGCTTAAGGCCATGGATCGACAGGACCTGGTGTACGTATTTAAAAGCATCCCTCTGGCTGTGTGTGTGGGGAATAGACTTTTGGGAGGGCGAGGGGGACCAGGAGGAGGTGACAGTGTAGTCTAGGCAGGAGGAGGGCGGTTTGGACTGGCAGGTGGCCACCGAGGTGGGCAGAAGTGGTTGCATTGCTCAGGCGAAGCGGACGGATGGGAAATGGAGTGTGGGAGGAGAGTGGCCCAGGACGACTGGCATTTTGTCCGCCGCCCCTGGGAGGCAGAGGCGCTGTTAGTCCTGCGGGGAGGAGCTCGGGTGGCGTGGGTTTGGAGGGAAGATCAGGAATTAGATGTTGGAGGGTTAAGTCTGTGGTGCACCTCGGGCGTCCGGGTGGAGAGAAGTCTGGATTTCAGGAGGGGTCCAGCCTGGGGGTATGAACTTGGGGGTCGTCACCAAAAAGATGGGATTCAGAGCTCCGAGACTGGCTGGGATGTCCTGACTCTGCGTAGACAGAGACAAAGCTGCCTTCCTCGGTGTCCCCTCTCTGTGACCCGCCATGTGGAATGCCACTGCGGAGCGGGGGACACCTCTCCAGTGACAGGAAAGGATCCGACAGCCGTCCACGGAGGGCTGGCCTCCTCCCTGCCCACCTGCCCCTGCCTCCCCGACCCTGGCACAGTCCCAGCTGTCTCCGCCATCTCTAGGCATTCACTCAGAGATCTCTCCAGACAAGCGTGGTCGGATGAGACACGCTCTTAATTAACCTGCACCCGGGCCCCCTCCGGACGCCTCACGCTGTAATCAGTCTTGGCAGGGCCGGTGACCGGCAGGCCCACAGCTCACCGTGGCCCTGCAGCTGAGACAGGCCCGTGGATTCCTTTCCCAGGGGTCTCCATGTGGCGGTTGCCACGTTAGCCTGGGGTCAGGCCCCACGTCCCAGAGTTGGGGCAAACCAGGCAGAGGATGCTGCAGGCGGCTGGCCTCAGTGTCCCTCAGGTGCCGACTCTGATGTCTCTCCCCTCCCCTGCATCCATCCTGTCAACTCAGCCTGTCCGCGGGTCACCCCCTGGCAGCTCCTCCCTCTGCCGCTCTGTCCCACCCACACCACTCCAGGGCAGCCCCCATCTCCCAGCGGCCCCCTGCACCCCTCCGCGCTGGTCTCCCCACCCCACTTTCATGCTCAACCCCTAAAATCCAGTTCCTCTTAATTACAGAGGCTCTTCCACGGATGCTTACAAACCAGGAGACTGCTTTAAAAATCCTAACTTCTGGCTTCACTAAAAAAAAAAAAAAAAAAGTCAGAACCTCTGGCGATCCTGGGCTGTGTTTCCACTTGGCCCGGCTCAGATGGGGGCACTGAAGGCGCCACGGCCCCGGCACGTGTGCCCTTTTATTGTCGTCCTCCTCTGCGTCTCGCAGAGGAGAGAAATGCGTTGTCTGTGCCGGGGCCCCAGAAAGAGTGGCAAGCAGCACCATAGGGCGTTCACGCGGCCGGATCCCGGGCGTCTGTCGGAAGGAACGAGGATGCCCCCCATGGAGTGATCTGGAAAGATCTCTGAGCTTTATTATGTGGAAAAAGCAGGTGCAGGGCATCCTGTGTATACAACTTTTTTTTTTTTGGTGTATGAAAAGAGGAGAACATGGGAATAGATGCGTATGTGTGCGTACACATATTCGCGCGCATTTGCGCTTGCACAGATTCTCTGGGAGGATACCCAAGACACTAGTAGCTGTGGTTCCCGTGGGGAGTGGGGGCAAGCAGAGAGACTTTTGGGTTTTTGACATTTTATATTTTTGACTTTTGAGCCATATTCACGTGTTATTATTCAGAAGTTGTGAAACAATTTTTAGAGGGTAAATGAGTGGCAGTCTGAGAGGTCGCCCTGGCGATGAAGCGGGTGCGAGTGGTGCATCTCGGGGTCGCGGCTCCTGGGCGCAGGGCTCCGAGCTGTTGTCCTCCGTCTGCTCAGGGCCCAGCACGGGGCCCGGTGCGGTGGGCGCTCTGGAAGCATCTGGCGACTGAGGGGGAGCGGGGGACCTTCCAGTGTGTTTGGCGTGTAAGCAGAGCGAGTTTTCCTCGCTCCCTGCACGTCCTGGACCGTGGCACCTCCCAGGTCCTAGCTGCTTTGAACTGGTGGCCCTTCGGTGGGGCTGTCCTTGCACGCTTCAGAGGCTGCACACTCACCTGTCCGCTCTCTCCGCAGGCGTTCCTGCATCGCATCCGGCAGAACGTGGCGGACTCCGTGGAGAAGGGCCTCACGGAGGACAACGTCAAGGTGTGGACGCTTGGGCCGGGCCCTTTCCGCATCCTCCCTGCTGCTTTGTGCCTCGCTCTTCCGGGCCGTGCTCAGAGGGTGCGAGGGGCGGGGGATGGGGGGGTCTGCTGCTGCCTCTGCCGCACCCCAGCTTGCTCCCTGCACCCCTCCTGGGGGCTCTCCATGCTGTGAGCACACTGCATGGGGGGTCAGGAGGAATCTGCCCCAGCCCGCTTCCCAGTTCCCGTTTCCTCTCCTCACCCAGGGTGACCACCCTGTCGTCCAGCCTCCTCGTGCCAGGCCCTGGCATGGAGCCCGTGGAAAATCCCTTCCCAAGTGCCCCTGGGAGCCTGGCGCTCCCACCCCCGCTGCTGGCAGCCCCGCCCTGCCCCCGCACCGGGCATCCAGTGTCAAGCCAGGGCTGATGAGTAATTGGGTCCCGCTTCGCCTTGGCCGTGGCTCTGGGAGCTTGAGGAGGACATCAATAGGCCTTCTGTGTGCATGGCCGAGCCCAGCCTGGCTCCCGGGGCCTGCCTTTCTCGGTGACCTCACTCTCTGAGCTGCATTTCAGTTCTCGGGCTCTGAGGTCTGGGTCCAAGGGGAGATGGGGAGACTAGGGCGGGGCGAGTGTCCACAGTGCCCAGCATTTACAGCATGCAAAGGACCTGGCCGAGGAAGATGCTCCCCCCAGGTTCCTGGATAATCCAGACAGTAACCTTGCAACATTGACAATTCTAAGCCCAATTTTTTGCCTAAGAAAGCTGAGGCGTGGAGATGCAAAGGGTCTTGCTGAGGGTCCCTGCATGGCTGGTGTGGGGGTGGGGTGTGTGTACCCTGGGACCTAAGGTCTTTATGCATTCATTCATTCATTCATTCACTAATTCACTTACCAAACATTTACTGAGCACCTATTGTTTATTTATTACATTCATTTACTACATTCTATTATAATTTAAAAATTATTTATTATGATTTTAAACTTGAATGTATTAAAGTTTTCCCAAAAAGTTGCCTTTTTAATGAGGTGTAACTCTCATACAGTATAGAGTGCAAATCCTAAGCACTGAGCATGCTACTTTTTCCCATATGAACACACTCATGTAACATGACCCAAATGAAGGCAGAGAACATTTCCTGCCCCCAGCTGCACCCTCTGTGTCCCTGCATAGTCCTCTCTCCCTGAAGATAGTCACTGGCTTCCAGTATCACCAATTAGTTTTGCCTGTTCTTGAAATAACATCAAAGTGTGCTCTTATGGGTCCAGTGCCTTTTGCTCCTGGTATGAGATTTGCCCATGTCATTGCGTGTAGCTGTGGCTCGTGCTTGTTCTGTTGCTGTGTAGTATTCCATGGTATGAATGTATTGCATGCAGTTCACATACCCATTCTCCTGTGGCTGCACATTGGAGTTATTTCCAGTTTGGGGCTGTTAGCATCATTCTTGCGCGTGTCTTTTGGGGGCGCACAGGCTCTCTTTCTTTTTGGCTATACACTTGGGAGACAGATATTTAATATTTGTTTTGAAATTTTGCAGCCATCCCTTGAAGTAAATATAACAACAGTGTATCACATGTGCTTTTAACATAAGTTGATTCAACCATGTGAGCTGGAAAAAATGAGAGAGAAAAATAACCAAGCAGCCTGGGTGACTCTTGCGGCCGCTTCACGTGGGGCGCACTCCAGGGCGAGGCCGCTCACACCCTGCAGTACTGAGCAGCGGGCTCCAGCCCCTTGTCCTCCCTGCCCACATAGACCATCCCCCTCTGCGGATTTTCTGGTGCATTCGAAGGGCCCATGAGCTTGGTCTTCATTCCTTCAGGTCTTGGCTCACGTGTCACCTTCTCAGAGTGACCGTCCCTGGTATTGAAATTTGTAAGCTTCTCCTTCTGATCCATCCTGGGACTCCTTGTTATATTTTTGTCTTTAGTGCATCTTCCCTTCTTAAAAAGTCTATTTTATTTATTTGTTGTCTGTCTCCTTGCACTAGAATGTCACTTTCATGGGAGCAGGGACGCGTCTGTTCCCTGCTGTATCCTCAGGGGCTCTACCAGTGCCTGGCATGTAGTAGGTGCTCAGTAAATGCTTGCTGAATGGGTGAAAAACTGGTCACTGTATTCATTCTATTATATTTGAATTTTGAACCACGTGTCTTCTTCAAAAATGAAAGAATGTACTTGTTAAAAAAAAAAAGAAAGAAAGAAAAAGGAAGAATTTATGCAATTTGCAAGAACCTAAGGTAAAAAGAAAGCCTTCCCTAGTTTTCCCCAGAGGTCCCCAGAATTTTCAGCTTGTATCATCACCAGAGAGTCTCTGGTTCTACCAGCATAGCTTGGAGTGGCCTTTTTTTGTGTTATTTTATGCAAATAGGCCCAAACTGGAACCCTGTTTGACATCTGATTTTCCCCCACACTTTACAATATATACTGCAGATCACTGTAGGATTCCATATCCATGTATACAGATGTACAGATTCTTCTTACAGGCTGAATAGTATTCTAATGTGTGGAATTCGTTTAACTTTTAACTTAACTAAGTCTCTGCTGGTGGACATTTGCTTGTTTTCAGTCTTTTGCTACTTTGGATAAGGCTGCAGTGTATGCACCTGGCCAACCACTAAGTTCTCCACCTTGGCACTGTTGACGCTTTGAGTGTGATGATTCTTTGTTTGGGGGCTGTCCTGTGCATTGCTGAAAGCTTAGCAGCATCTCTGGCCTCTGTCTGTGAAATACCAGTAGCACTTTCCCCTCTTCCCACCAATTTATGGCAACCAAAACTGTCCCTAGGCATTGCCAAATGTTCCCTGGGGGGCAAAATTGCCCCTAACTGGAAATGAGTGATTGAAAGGTTAAATTCTTTTTTTTTTTTTTTTTTTTGAGGCTAGAGTCTTGCTCTGTCACCCTGAGTAGAGTGCAAGTGACGTCAGTTTAGCTCACAGCAACCTCAAACTCCTGGGCTCAAGGGATCCTCCTGCCTCAGTCTCCCGAGTAGCTGGGACTACAGGATGCGCTACCATGCCCGGCTAATTTTTTCTGTATATTTTTAGTTGTCCAGCTAATTTCTTTCTATTTTTTAAGTAGAGATGGAGTCTCGCTCTTGCTGAGGCTGGTCTTACATTCCTGAGCTCAAGCAATCCTCATGCCTCAGCCTCCCAGAGTGCTAGAGTAATAGGCATGAGCCACTGTGCCTGGCCCAAAAGGTTAAATTCTAAAATGTAGAATTGCTGGATCAAAATTTGATTGATGTGGGCAAACTTACAGATTTTAAACTTTTAGATTGATATGGGCAAACAGGCAATCTCATATATTATTTGTGGGAGTATACACAATGTATTTCAGACATCTTTCCTTGTATGTTCTTGTACCATATCATTTTAGCAGTTGCATGAAAGTACGTTCATTGTTTTAAAAATCAGTCCTGTGGCTGGACACACCAGTTGTGCTGAATGTCTGCACACTGAGTGTGAAGTTTAGTTCTGCTGCTTACTGGACAGTGGGACCTTGGGAATGTTACTTCTTTTATCCGAGCCTTAGTTCTTCATCTGTAAATTGGGGATAATATAATAATAGTTTCTACCTCATAGACTTCAAGTGAGGATTAGATGCCATAAATGCACATAAAGTTCTTAGCACAGGATTAATCACTAATCCTGATTAGTAAATGTTGGCAATGTTTTGTTATAATGATTATTTTTTTTTTTTGAGACAGAGTCTCGCTTTGTTGCCCAGGCTAGAGTGAGTGCCGTGGCGTCAGCCTAGCTCACAGCAACCTCAATCTCCTGGGCTCGAGTGATCCTTCTGCCTCAGCCTCCCGGGTAGCTGGGACTACAGGCATGCGCCACCATGCCCGGCTAATTTTTTATATATATATCAGTTGGCCAATTAATTTCTTTCTATTTATAGTAGAGACGGGGTCTCGCTCTTGCTCAGGCTGGTTTTGAACTCCTGACCTTGAGCAATCCGCCCGCCTCGGCCTCCCAAGAGCTAGGATTACAGGCGTGAGCCACAGCGCCCGGCCTATAATGATTATTTTTATTAGCAGTAAGCTGGTTCCAGTGTTTGAGAGTGCCTGTTTTACCACAATTCCACCTGCACTGGGGGTTAGATATTTTTTTAATGCTCAGCTTTGCTGTCCCTCTGTCTTTCGATTAATGCTATCCTCGGCCTCGCTCTTTCAGATCCTGTTCTCCAACATCGAAGACATCCTGGAAGTTCATAAGGATTTCTTGGCTGCCTTGGAGTACTGTTTACACCCGGAGCCTCAGTCTCAGCACGAACTTGGGAACGTTTTCTTGAGATTTGTGAGTACGGTGCCGCAGCCCAGGTGGACTCTGTGTTTTTTGAGAAGTAGGCCTCCCCGGGTTCCTGCCCCACCCGCCCCTGACCAGCTTCCCCTGGAGCCTGTCTGGGAGGGGGACCAGCCGTGGTGGGCAGGTGGGCCCCGCAGACCGGGCATTTCTAGCACCTTCCTGTCCCTCACTTGCACACAGAATGTGGCCCCCGCTGAGTGACCGCATCCTGGGGTCCTGGACCTCCTGGCCTGGCGGGGCCCCTCTGCCACAGAATGGCCAACAGAATAGCAAGTGGTTGAGAGGGTGCGCTTGGCGTCAGACAGACCCGGGTTTGGGTCCAGCCACCCACTGGCCAGCACGGCGGCTCCGATCCTTGGGCGCCCGACTGGTTGGAGAGTCTCCCCTCGGGATTCCTGCCTGCCCTGCAGCTGTGGGTGGCGGGCTGCAGGAGGGAAGGCGACCGCCTGTCCGTGCCCTCTGCTCTGCGCCGCCTGGGCCCTCCTCGTGGGGAGGGCAAACTCCTCCGCCTCTCTGAGCCTCAGTTTCTTCCTCTGATTGAGAAGTAGGGATGGTCATGCCTCCAGGCCCCTAGGCTGGTGGGAAGACTGGGAAGTGAAGCAGAGAAGTGCTGAGCACGGAAGAAGGCTCCTCGACGAGGGGCGGCTGTCCCCCAGCAGATGTTGGGAAATGTTTGGAGACATTTTTGGTTGTCACAACCCTAGGGGGAGGGGTGCTACTGGCTTCTAGTAGGTAGAGGCCAAGGATGCCACCAAATACCCTACACTGCACAGGACACCCCCATGATGGAGAAGTATCTGACCTCACATGTCAGCAGTGCCGAGGTGGAGAAACTTTGACTTATGGTGAGCACTTGGTCGATGCTAGCTCTTACCACCATGACCATCATCGTCACCATCATCAACTCTAACTCACTTCTCGGGATCACATCTCAGTGGTCAGAGTCTAGGGTGACAGAGCCTGTGTGGCTCTGTCCTCAGGGTTACAGCCTAGTGGGCAGTCTCATATGGTCAGAGGGGAGGCACTGCTGGCCAGGCTGCTAAGCTACTCAGTAATTGTTTTACTCTCAGCAAGTTGTTCCAACTGGTCTGTGCCTCAGTGTCCTCGCCTGTGAAATGGGTATAAACTCCCGATGTTGTGGTGAGGATTGAGTGAGGTGCCAGGAGAGAGCTCAGAACAGCTCCTGGCACGTGCTAAGTGCTCCGTAAATGTCAGATGTTATCTTCCGGTTCATGTAGTGGACACTTCTCCGTGTTTGAAAAGGACGGATAAGAGCACGTGATGGGGCACAGGTAGGGCGGGTGCCAGGGAGGTGTTGGGTTGTGGCCCACGTTGGGTTGAGAGGGCCCTTCGGCTGCTGGGAGGGAGCGCCGGTGTGCAGGGGAGGGAGGCAGCGGGGAGACCAGCTGAGAGCCCACCCTGCCAAGTCCCACATGGTGCCTCGGACCAGCAAGGTGGCAGTGGAGGTGGCGAGAGGGGCGAGTGGCCACAGGGCTCAGTGAACAAGTTTGCATAGGAACATGGAAAGAGTGGGAAGGACGGCCTCCCCTTCGGGTTCGGAGGAAAGAGCGAGGGCTTGTTTCTGGAGCCAACAGCCGACGATCAAACCCTGTTCTGCTGCTGACCCCGGGCAAGTCACCTCACCTCTTGGGGCCTCAGTCTCCAACGTTGTAAAATGGAGGTAATGACAGTACCTGCCAGGAGGCGGGAATGAGCGGCCCAGCACTGAGCTGGTACTGCACGATTATCAGCTGTGGGCATTTTCCCAGCCGGCGCACCAGGGCAGGCTTTCCGGGGAGGCGGCCTTGGGGCTTTGCAGCTTCCTCGTGGCCAAGCCAGGGTTCTTCACTGCGTTGATCACACACTAAGTTTGTGGCCTTTGCTGCACCTGGCACCCCTTGCATTATTATTTGTTAAATCCTTTAAAAAATTGATTCACTTTAAAACACCTTAAATAAACTTATTTAAAAAGGGGGATTTGCATCATTAGAAATGGCAAATGAATGTCTCTGCTATAAATAGAAGGTAATCATAAAAATAAATGCGGTAGAAACCAAACGGTGTTACCGCATTCTGTCTAGAAACTCGGGCCCACCTGTGCCTCCCAGCCGAGGCCTGTCTTTTTGATCGAAAGGGAGATTCATGAGTGTGAACTGGTACAAATGCCACATCACTCCTCGCTGAGGCCCTGCTTGGGCTAAGCGGAACAATTGAAAAGGAGGCAGCTTTCTTAGCGTGTGATTCAGTGTTTTTTAATTTAAAAGCTAAAATCATCAGCCCCTTCCCTGGCTCACGGAGGACTGTGCCGCCTCCTGCACCCCGCTGTCTCGGGAGTTTTAGAGGCAGCCCCTGCCGGAGCTTGGGCTTCTGGAAGCCGGAGATTTGTGCGCAGGTGGCCGCGTGGAAGCAGCGGGAGGGGAGGCTGCACAGCTCTACCCTGACCTCCGAGACCCTGCTGGAAGGGTCTCTGGAGCCAGGGTGGCCCTTCCGCTCATGCACGTTGTGGCGAGGGGGCGAGGCCTTTGCACCCATGCTGCGCGGTCACTGGATGTGGGCTGTCCCCAGGCTCTGAGGCCTCTGGGGAGGGCTTCAGCTGAGGGCCATCGTCTGCCACCACGCCCAGCGTGGGGGCGTGCGTGGGGGAGCGGGTGCCCCTGCCCTCACGGGTGGGGATTGAGCAGGACCGCCGCATCCACTGTGGCCCGGCCCAGCCCCGTTCCCAGGCTTGCTCCCTGCCTGGAAACGTTTTCCCACAGCCCAGACAGCATCTGGGCTGGCGAGGCGGTAATTGGGAACAGAGCTCTGCAGACGGGCTCTCGGGGGGCGGAAGGGGCCCTGGCTCACAGCGCAGCCCACTGGTGCCGCCTCAGTCAGGGGGCAGGGGAAGAATCTCCCACCTCCTTACCCTAAAACCTAACCACTGGCTACCAAGTTTGTCACAAACTAGCACTGAGGGAACATCTTCTTTGTGCTAGGCTCTGTTCTATGTGCCTTATGTATACTAATTCATTAAAATTTCATGACAGCTTTTAAAGGTAGGTGCTGCTATGGTACCCATTTTACAGATGAGGAAACCGAGGCTTAGATTGTAGTCGGTGCCAGGATTTGAGCTGACATGTTCTGGTTCCAGAGACTACGTTTTTCACGGTCTGATGTGAGAATGTCTCCTGAAATATACATTAAGCACCTGCTATGTGCGAGGCCTGTACTAGGCTCTGAGAATGCTGCCGTGAGGCTCACAGGCTGGAGAGAGAGAGGCTAAGTTAAGAGAAGGTCATTTCAGACGATGATGTCGATTGTGAATAACATAAAATGCAGAGGTGATGAAGAGCGACTCTACCCGAGGTTGCTTTAACTTGGGAGGTCAGGGACAGGGTGCTAGATTTAAAGTGAAAGCAAGGGACACCCAAGTCAATTTGAATTTTAGGTAAACATCAAATCATTTTTTAGTGTATGTCTCCTGCAATATCTGAGCCATACTTCTACTAAAAAAGTTATTTGTTGTGTATCTGAAATTACAGTTCCACCGGGCGCCCTGGGTTTTATCTGGCCAGCCTAGGCAGGCACAGCTTCTTCGAGGCGGGGAAGCAGGATGATCTGGGGGGAGGGTGTTCCGGCCTGCGGGAAGAAAGGGCAGGAGCCTTGGGCTGGGAGCGAGCTGGGTGCACAGGAGGGAAGAAGGGACACCAGTGTGGCTGGAGCCGAGCGTGGAGGAGAGAGTCGAGGGGCATTATGGTGGGGAGCAGGCCCAGTAGGGCTCTCCGGGCCAAGGCCAGGACTATAGATTTTATTCTAAGAGTCACAAGAAGCCCTCAGGTCACACAGCAGGTGTTAAGATAAAAAAAAAAAAAAGAAGCCATCAGAGGTTTTAAACTTGGGAGTGGTGTGGCTTAATTTCTGTTTTAATCCCCCCTCCCTGCAGCTGCGTGGGTGGGTGAATGCCAGGGTGGGGAGACCCTTGAAAAGTTGAGACCCGGCTCTCCTGGCCCGCTCCGCACTGGAGGAGGCGTCTGCACGGGCCGGCGCCTCCACTCCTCTGGGTCTCAGCCGTGCTGGCTGTGACGTGAGTGGTTTGGAGCAGATGGTCTCTGTGGAGCCAGTGTCACCTCCAAGTACTGCGGACAGCAGACGCCACCTCTGACAACCCGTGAGCCCTCCCTGGGGCTAAATCCCCTCCCCTGGCTGTCCCCAGCTGGCAACTGTCCCCTCTCCGCCTTCACACCCCAACCCGCAGCCACAAGGTCCCCGCCCACCACATCTGTGTGTGCGCAACTGTGTGTCCGTTTCTTTCTGGCAAAGCAATCAAAGCCCCATGTGAGGCCCCTGGGAGGAAGTTGAGCACTTGGACTGCGAGCTGTCAATTGCAGCATCTCTGCATTTGCAGGGGCTGGGGCCTGGCACGCCGCTGGGGTCAGGCTCCACGAGAGGACATGGGAGAGATTGAGCTGGGCATGCGTTTGAAGAGAGGATGTTGTCATTGCTAAATTTAACTTCTCCAAGCCTCAAGCCTTGGGCCCCTGCCCTTTCTGGGGGCTGAAGGAGAGGATGACATTGCAGGCTGTGTCAGAGAAGGGGCTCAGGGGATGAGGAATGACAAACCTGTGGCAGTCTTGTCACTTGCTCCCCTCTCCTGCGTCTGTGCAGACATCGCTAATCAATCACAGCACTCTGTGTCCGGGCTCTCTGTGGGCTCCAGAACCTTCTCAGCAGTGTTCCAGCCAGCACTACCATTGATGGGTTGGTGTAGGGGAAGAAACAGCTTTGCCCCTGCTTTCTGGCCCAGCTCCTTCATGGTATACAGATGGATGTGGACAGGGAGACCATGTCCCCTCACAGAGCGTGGGCCCATGTCTCTTTCACTTTAAAAAAACCACTTTTAGAGTGTTGCTTGTATCAAGATGGTCTTCACTGCAAGTGACAAAAACACCAATTCAGGTTTAAACCAAAAAAGGACTTTATTGGTGCATATAAATGAAAAATGTTCAGGAGAGGGTTGGCTTCAGGCATAGCTGGATCCAGGACTCTACATGAAGTTCTCAGGAGTTGGTCATTCTCTGTCCCTGGGCTCTGCTTTTCTCTGTGTTGGTTCTATTCTTGGAGGGTGGGGAGTGGTGTGGGGAGTGATGCCTCACATGGTGGCAGAGGTTCAACCGCTCAGAGAGAGCTTCCCTTCCCGATAATTCCAGCGTGAGGCCTTGAGGGCTCTCATTGGCCCAGCTTGGGTCACATGGCCACTGTCACTAGGACAGGGAACTCTTTGATTGGTTTTACCTGGGTCGCATGCTCCCCTGTGGTGGCTAGGGGTGGGGTGGGGTCACCCTGGGAAGAAGCGCGTGGCTGATGTGAGGAGCCAACAGGCCACTCTCAGTTCTCTCCCTCCCTCTGTTTTCTTGTCTTTGTTCATGGAATAGTCACGGAGTCTGCTCTCTGCCAGGGACTGCTGTCACCATTAGCACCACAGCAGTGACCTGGACAGCCGCAAACCCTGCCCCCATGGAGCTCGCAGTCTGGGGCGTTGGGGGAGGACAGTGCTCGAATGGGAAGTGGAACTGTATTTCTCAGATCTCCCTGGTGCCTTCCCCAGACCTCCTGCTCACTCTGCTGGCTTCCTTTTTTGCCACCGACCACCCTACCCTGTCACAGAACGACTCATCAATGGGATAATGAATTTTCTGAAATAATAATGATAGCAAGAATGGCAAGCGTAATACTTGCTAATATTTAGGGAGCAGTTACTACACACAGTTTTAAGCACTTAATGTAAATTCACCTATTAATCCTCACAAAACCTTATCCTGAGGATGTCTTTATTGCCCGTACTTTATGGATGAGGACACAGACATGCAGAAGCAGTGCTTTGTCCTGCCCAAGGTCACAGAGCTGCCGATGAGGGGATTTGGGTTGTGACTCTAGACGGTCTGGCTGCAGAGCCTGCGCTTGGTACTTACAAGGTTGATGCTGGTAGCAGTTGCTGAGAGCCGTCCTGGGGGCTTTTGGGGCTGTATCTCAGGGCAGCGTCTGTAGGCCCAGAGGAAGCCCAGGTCTCTTGGCTGCAGAGGGACTTTTTTGTTTTCCTTTAAACTCATTATATATGGCAGGGCCCTCCTACTGCCATTCATGTGCCTGCACTTAGAGCCTGGCCCTCCCTCTCCAGCCCTGCAGGCCTCTGCAGGAGCAGGCTCCCAGGCACAGGCCAGTTCCCGTCGCCCACAGCAAGGGAGTTCACTGTCTTCTTCGCCCTCTGCCCTGCAGCCTGCCCCACCGCAGCCTGCCACTGAGGCCTTGGCTCCAGATATGCCCGGCAGCCCCCCACGTGGTTCCTCTGTGGCTTCTCCTCACCCACTTCCTTGGGCTTTGATGGTCCCCTAACCTCGTTTGAGGCAAGTGGAAATATAAGAAGGTCTGTTTGGGCAGCGTGGGGGAGGCCAGGGTCCCTTCTTCTCCTTCCCTGCTCTGTGTATGTGTGTGTGTGTGTACATGTGTGCACGTGCACACGTGTGTGTGTGTGTGTGTGTGGGGGGCATCTCACTGGGTTGTAGGTACTCGCGGAAGAGGTCATGGTTTGTGACCCAGTGCTGTTTCTGTGCATGCTGATGGTGGTGGTGGTGTTTGGAGCACATAGCTTGCGTAGTGTAGTGCTTGAGATTGTTTGGTGGTTCCTCAGACCATGCATCAGGATTGTTTGTCCTATGGTGTGTGTGTGTGTGCATACTTTGGGCGATTGTAACATTGTTTTGGTATTTTTCCCTATGGGTTGGTGTTTGTTAACTGTGTTTATGTTCATAGCTGATCTGGTGCTTATTGTGTGCCAGGCCCTGTTCTACTCATGTTACATACATGAAGTTATTTCATCCTCCAGCAGCCTACATGTTGGGGGCCAGGTGTGATGCACATGTTATAGATGAGGAAACAAAGCATAGGGAGGTGAAGCAACTTGCCCAAGGCCACCCACGACTTAGGGAGCGCAGAGCGGGGTTTACAGAGTCACTCTGTGCACCTCATTATCATGCCGCAGCACTCCTTGGAGCTTAGTCTGTGGATTTGCAGCTTGAGATTTGCACCCTGTGTGTGTGCTTCCGGCGGCTGCGTGTATCCCTTGAGCTGGACATCAGCGTGGGGGTTAAGAGAATCCTGGTCTCACTGCACTAGCTGTGAGATCCCAGGCAAATGACTTCAGCTTGGTTTTCCTGTGTGGAAATGGGTCTACTACAGTCATTACCACGTCAGGTTACTGTGAGGAGTGAGCAAGTTGACCTTATTCCGAGAGAGCAGGGCAGCCTGTGCAAGCGGCTCAGCACACAGCATCGGCGCCGGCCACAGGCTCTTTGCTGCTCTGATTTCTGCCCAGACGGTGCACGCAGAGCCCCGGAGTGAGCTGGGGCTTATGACTCTCAGGCCCATTCCCTCTTCTCTTTGGCATCCTGTTTCCTGCTGCCTCCCACCGGAAGGCTGCCTGGGGGCCTGTTTAGAAACAAGACAAGCTGCTTGCCCTGCAGACCCACCTCTTCCTTCCTTAGCTGCTTCGGCCTCCTGTCCCCCCACCTCCCGCCCCCCCTTGCATCCAGGGTCGAGCCTTGCAGACCTCCCTCCTCTGGTGGCCTCACCCAGGACATCCTTGTTTGGGGTTTGGCGGGTTCTGTGGGCTGTTTGGAACCAAGAATGCTCAGTTGAGAGTTTCCTGCTAAGAAGGCTCCTGTCCCTTCTAGTTCCGGAAGGTCCTGATTGATGGTGACAGACCTGGTGGCCCACAGGTGACCTCTAGGCTGGAAAGAGTCCACCTTTGGGCTCAGGGGCATCTAGAAGTCAATAGAGCTACCACCCTGCCACAACAACTCCATGAGTTAGGGACTTTTGTTAACTCTACCTTGCAGATGAGGAAACTGAGGCACAGGGAGGTCAGGTAACCTGCTCAAGTTCACAGCTAGGGAATGCAGAGCCAGGGTTCAAGCCCAGGCTGCTTGGCTTGAGTCTGCACTCGTGACCCCCGGCCGTGCCGCTGAGTGCAGAACTGGGGCAGGGGTTGAAGCAGGGCGGCCCACAGTGAGAGGCGATGGAGACACTTGCCCCATGCAGCCTCTCCGGGGTCTGGGGTAGCCCCTTCCTGCCAGTGCAGCTGTCGGCACATCTCTGGGCACCTCCCTTCCTGCTGTGATCTGTCTCCCACCAGCCCTGTCCTTGTCTTGCAGAAGGACAAGTTCTGCGTGTACGAGGAATATTGCAGCAACCACGAGAAGGCCCTGAGGCTGCTGGTGGAGCTGAACAAGATCCCCACCGTGCGCGCCTTTCTGTTGGTAAGCCGACCGCCAGCCCCGGCCCGCCCTCCCGCTCTGCGTCAGCCTGGGGAGTCTCGGGCACAAGGGAACTTCTTGCTGCCCGTGATGCCTGCCTCTTCCTCAGCTGGGGCCGTGTCCTGTCTGAAGCCCTTTTCTTTTCTTTTTTTTTTTTTTGAGACAGAGTCTCGCTTTGTTGCCCAGGCTAGAATGAGTGCCATGGCATCAGCCTAGCTCACAGCAACCTCAAACTCCTGGGCTCAAGCGATCCTTCTGCCTCAGCCTCCCAAGTGGCTGGGACTACAGGCATGCGCCACCATACCCGGCTAATTTTTTCTATATATATTATTTGGCCAATTAATTTCTTTCTATTTATAGTAGAGACGGGGTCTCACTCTTGCTCAGGCTGGTTTCGAACTCCTGACCTCGAGCAATCCGCCCGCCTCGGCCTCCCAGAGAGCTAGGATTACAGGCGTGAGCCACCGCGCCCGGCCTGAAGCCCTTTTCTGCAAAGGCACCAGCTAGTGAGTGCTTTTGCCTTTGTCAGCCATTTAGTTCCTGTCTCGGCAACTCAACTCACGCTGTTGTAGCACGAAAGCAGCTATGGATAATATGTGGGGGATGTGTTGCAATAAAACTTTATTTACAGAAACAAGCAGAGGGCTGGATTAGGGTCACTTTCATCCATTCTTGGTCTAAAGTAATGGTTCTAATAAAAGTGATAGCAATAGTAGTAATTATCATTATTGCTATTATTATTGGGATTATTATCATTAGGATTACTGGTATTATTAGGATTATTTAATTTAAAGTGAAAGCAATTCTAATTAAAACTGGGTTAAATAAAACAACAATAGCAACAACAACAAAAAAACAAAAATGAATTTACTGGTTTACTTTTCTGGGAAGTTTAAGACCTGACCTGAGAGGGCTTCAGACATGTAGAGTCTGGGCGTTCAAATCATCAGGAATGCGTCTCTTGGCTCTGCCTTTCCCTGCCTTGGCTCCATTCCTGGCCAGACTCTCCCCAAGTGGTGGCAATGTGGCCCCTAGCAGCTCCGCACTTGTATCTCTCATAGCTCAGAAACTCCAGACTAAAGAGAACTAATTCCTCTTTCCTCATAGTAACAGCAAAAATCCTGAGTCTGAAGCTCATTGGCTCACCTTGGCTCAAAACCTTCTCCCTGAATCAATTGCTGTTGACAGAGGGATTGGGTGGTGTTCTGATTGGTCACTTTTGGAGATGGGGGCGGGGTCAGGTCCACCTATAACGGTGGGGGCTAAGGGGGCAGTGGATCTTTAGAGACAGTTTGTTTGCATTTGCGGGAATGCAGGTAAGTGAATTGAGAATAAATGGATGTTGGTCAGGAAAACCAGTAGACATCCATGATGGTTTCCCCTATATTTGTAGAGAGCTTCCCTTATGGGTAAAACAGGTTCTCATTTGTAACCCTGTTTGAGCCTTCCAAACCACTGTCTGTTGCGTATGAGTGAAGATATACGTTTGTCTGCTTTGCAGACATCGCAAATGACAGTGGTTTAAACAAGGTAGACGTTTATTTCTCCCACATGTGAACATTGTGTAGACAGCGTGAGGCTGGTTTAGGGGCTCCAGTGTCAGGGACCACGTTCCTGAAGCATGAGCCTCATTGGCATGGTCTAAGACGGCCTCTCAACACACCCTGATTCCAGGTGATGGGGTGCAGGAATGGTGGGAAGGAGGGCATGTCGTTCTCCTTTTAAGGGCGTAACAGGAAACTGCATGCATCTCTTCTGCTCATATCTTATTGGCCAGAACTCAGTCACATGCCCTCACTTAGCTGCAAGGGATGCTGGGAAATATAGGCTTTGTTCTGGGCAGCTGTCTAAAAATTCTGTTGTTGTGGAAGAAGAATACATTAGGGGACACTGCATAGCCTTTGCCACAGGTGACTTTTTTTTTTTTTTCTTTTTTTTATCCCATAATGCATGAAAACAGGTGACTTTGATGACACCAAAATATTAAGTGACATGCTAAGGGTCTGTATCTGAGATGTGATCGAGCTTATCATGGGCTCCAATTCCGGACTTTCACCTCTAAATCTCCTCTCATTCAGTCACAGACATGCCTCCACCGTACTGTTTGTTTTCCGAGTAGCACATACAGAATTCAGCACACACAAGTTGAACAGTTAACCGACACAGCATAAGGAGTATTAGCTGTATTCCCAGAGAGCTAAACTATACAATAAAATTCCTCATTGCACTTCTCCTTAATGCACAGTCTCTCCGACAAAGTATTTCCAGCATTTTGATGCAAAATGTTGTATGTTTCCTTCGCAAGTGATTTCACGTTGCTTGGCCTGGTTCCAGTGAGCATCTGAGGAAGGGCAAATTGGCTGACTGATTTCCATTCTTGTCTCAAGTGAGTTAAGCTTTTAGGACTGATGCTTTTGATAGCTGGTATCTGCATCTTGGCATTTCCATTTTTGCACTTGTGTTCATAAAATAGTTCAGGTAGGATGCAAAGATGCAGTCAGGCTAGCGTGAGACCACATGCAGACAGAGTCGGACACGTTTCTACAGTGACCGATGACTTGGAGGTGGCATCACCCTTCCACAGCCCCTGCTGCCCGGGCTCTGGGCTCCCCCGTCTCAGGGTGTCCCTTTGGGCTCAGCTGGTTCTTGGGAAGCAGGTAGATGCCAGGAAGGCGTGTGCAAGGACATGGGAAGGGAAGGACAGATTTTCCTTTCTCTCTCTCGTGTCATCTTCCTGGTGGGCCAGACTGCCGTTTTCCTAGGAGCAGCTGGGCGGGCTGGGCTGGGCAGAGGAGGACGTGTGGGGTGCCAGCATACGTACCATCTGTCTCCCGCCTTGCTGGCGCCTCCCAGCTTTTGGCCACCTGCAGAAGAGCTGTCGTGAGTCTGCTATGGGGTGTTAAGGTTTTGGAAACAGACAAGATCTGGCCTTCCATTCATGATGGGCTGTGCGCTAGCTGAGTGATGGGGCAGTGACTTTATCTTTCTCCACCTCAGTTTTTCTTGTCTGTACAATGGGGATTATTTATTTATTTATTCATTCAACAGTTTCTTATTGAGCGCCTATCAGGAAGCAGGGTTCATTCTAAGTCCTGGGACTGTAACAGTGAACAAGGCAAGAAAAAGTCCCTGTTCTCATGGAGTGGCCATTCTACTTGGGGGAGACTTAAATTGTATCTCATGTGATGTTGTCTGGAAGAAATAAAGTAAGTTAAGAGTGACAGGATATATTTGAGGGAGTTAAGGTGGTGGCTGCTATTTAGATTGCTGTTTGGGAAAACTGTGTCTTGCGTGACATTTAAGCAGAGATGTGGATAAAATGAGAGAGAGAGAGAGAGGAGCAAGGGGTGTCTGGAAAGCGTTCTAGGTAGAGGAACTGCAAGTGCAATGGCCCCGAGGTAGGAGAGAGTCTGAGGAATGGCAAGAAGGCCAGGGTTGCTGGAACGACTGGCATGAGAGGAGGAGCGGGAGGAGATGAGGTCAGAGAGATTGAAAGACGCCAGAAAATGAAGGAACATTTAGTCAATAGAAAGAGTCTGAGATGTTTAAATAGCTTTTTTATTGAAGTAGAAATACGTGCAGTAAATACACTCATGGGATCATGAATGTTTACATATATCTACTCCCATGGAACCACCAAGGTCCAGAGTTGGAACATTGCTGTCATTCCAGAAGGTTCCCTCTTGGCCCTTCCAAGTCATGCCTCTGTTTGTCTCCAAGGTAACCACTATGCGGATTTTTCTTACCAAAGGTGAGCTTTGCCTGTTCTAGAATTCTACCTGAATGAAGCCACATGGGATGCTTTTGTGTCTGGTTGCTTTTGCTCACCATAATGTCTGTGGGATTCACCCCTGTTGGAGCATGTGGCAGTGCTTTAAAGAATGTTCAGTTTTACTCTGAGTGGGATGGGAAGCCATGGGGGGTTTGAGCAAAGGGATGACTTGAACTACTTTGCATTCTGAAAGGCCCCCGTGATTACACGTGAGGGACCAGGGAGGAGGCTTGTATGCATTTCCTAGGGCTGCAGTAATAGTTGCCACCAACTGGGTTGCTTAAAACAACAAAGTATATTTTCTTAGTCTTGGAGGCCAGAAGTCTGAAATCAAGGTGTTGGCAGGGCTGCACTCCCTCAAAAGGCTATTTCCAAATAAGGCCACATTCTGAGGTTTGGGGTGGGCACAGCATTGGGACTCACCATTCGACCCGCTGTAGGACTACTGCAACAGTCTAGGCAGGCGGTGGTAGCTGAGAACAGGCTGTAGTGCTAGGAAAGGTGGTTGGACTCACGTGGAGGTTGAAGGCCCAGCTGACATAATCTACCGTAGGTTAGCTTTGGGGTCTAAATGAACAAGAGCAGCCAAGGGAGACTCCAGCATCTTCAGCCCAAACAATTGGAAGAATAGAGGCACGTTTTCCTTAGATGGTGAAGGCTGGGGTAGGAGCAGGTAGAAGAAGCAAGTAAAACATCACCTTTGGGATGCACGAGGTTTAACAAGCCTGAGACGCCTCCAGGCGGGGATGTCGGGAAGGCTGTCTGAGGTTCAAGTCTGGAGTTTTAGGGAAGGGGCCGGGCTGGAGATAGAAACCTGAGCATTTTTAGCATGAAGATGGTGCTTCAAGCCATGGGTCAGGATGGGATCAGCCAGGGAGCGAGTGTGAACAGAAAGGAGGACCTAGGACAGCCCGGGGGCTGCTGCCACTGGGAGTTGGGGAAGACCGTGCGGTTGACACCTGAGTCACTTCTGTGGATTAGGAGGGTTTAAGGAGATAATTTTCATAAGTTCTTCCCGTAGTGCCTGAAGTGGAATAAGAGTATAGTGAATGCAAGCTCTGTGTGTGTGTTTGCTTTTTTTTTTTTTTTTTTAAAGAATGAAGTAACAATCTAGAGTGTTTGGGGAGAAGTGTAGTTGGTGGCTGTGACAGTCTTGTGAAAACTCCTTGATCCTGGACAAAGAGATGGGCCCTTCTCCTGCCAAGCCCTGGGGGCTCTGGAAAGCTCACCCCCACCCGCAGGCTGCCCCTTCTCTGCCCAGAGCTGACATCACCAGGGCAGCCTGTGGCAAGCGCTGGCTCAGAGGACAAAGGCCTGAGTGTGAGCAGTGTGGGGCCTGGCATCTCCCAGCTGCCACAGCCTTGATCCTCCGTTTGTGCCAGGGGTGGACACAGGGATGGGGACTCTGCAGCTCAGCCAGAGCAGGCACCTGGGGTCCCCAGGATTCTGCTTCTCCAAGAAGAGAGCCTGTCAGGGTCCCTGAAAGGCAGTGGAGGTGGCTCTGGGACTTGGGCGAGGTCTCGGTGCCTGTGGTGGGCACACGATCAATGTTCTCTGGTCTCATTGTATTTTCACTTGAATATGAGCAGGGAATTTGTTTAGTTGGGCAGATCCCTGGTGCTTGGCACTGTGCACAGCACACAGTAAGCACGCAGTGTGTATTTGCTGAATGAATGAATGAATGAATGAATGAATGAATGATGGAATGGGAATCCCTTTCCCCATAAGTCCTGATTCATTTCCAGTCTGTTCAAGGGGTGTTGAGGAGGGACCCCAGACCCCTTCATTGCTGGATGTGCTGGCAGTTTCTTTATTTGTTAGTTTATTAATTCATTCACTTATCCATAATGGGCAGGCAGTGAACCCTAGGGACCGAGGCCGTGTACTCATGGTTCCTGCCAAACAAAAATGGATTCTTAAGTTGCAGCCTCTCCTAGAGGAAAAGACGGGACCAGGAATGTGACTGGTAGCCACATAGAGCAAATGACCTGCTGCGGCGGCTCCAGGAGGAGCAGTCTTGGGAATTGAGAGCAGGTGGGGCGGCTGGGCTGGCCTTGGCACATGGGTGGGCTGGGGGCAGGGCAGCCTGGCGTTGTGGTTCCAAGGCCAGGCTCTGTGCTAGCCTGCCTGGCTCTAGATCCCACCTGTGTGGCTCACTTTTCCTGGGGTGGCCTTGGGGTGAAAAACTAAACCCCTCTAACCCCAGTGGTCTGAGCTGCTGTGACATGGAAATAATAATAATAGTTTCCAGTTGATAGGGTGCTTGGTCAGCAGTGGGGCCCTTGTGGCCGGCTGGGCACGTGGTTAGCTCTCCGTCAGAGTTAGTAATGGATGATGACCTATTATTATTATTTTTGTTATTATCAGGGAAGAGAAAGCAGTGTAGGCAGAGGGCACGGAAGAAGCAGAGCCAAGGGGTCTGAGGGAGGAAGTATTGATGTGGAGGACACTGGGTTGATCGGTGTGGACAGGGGTTGGGGATGAGCACGGGAGTTATTAACTATATTTAATTCCTGGTAGAGCTGCATTTTCTACCTCTGCAAGCCACAGTGTGGGTATTCATATGATAGCACTCATGTACCCCACTCCCAGGTAAAGAAATAGGACATTTTCAGTAATAGCTAAAGAGTCTCAATTTAGCTGGGTGTGATGGCTCATGCCTGTAATTCCAGCACTTTGGGAGGCCAAGGTGGAAGGATTGCTTGGGGCCAAGAGTTCAAGATCATCCTGGACAACATAGTAAGACCCTGTTGCTACAAAAAAAAAAAAAAAATTAGCTGGGTGTGGTGGCACATGTCTGTAATCACAGCTACTTGGGAGGCTGAGGCAGGAGGATGGCTTGAGCCCAGGAATTTGAGATTGCTGTGAGCTATGATCACACCACTGTACTCCAGGCTGGACAGCAGAGTGAGACCCAGTCTCTTAAACATGAAAAGATTCCCAAATCACTTTCCAACCCGTTATCCTCCCTCCATGGAGGTAAACCCCTGTCAGAATATGGGACATTTCTTTCCTATGCCTGTCTTTATATTTGGCTATACACACACACACACACACACACACACACACACACTCCATAAACATTGTCTAGTTTTGTTTTCCATGTCTTTCAAGGATTTATATAAATGGGTTCATATCATACATATCCTTCTATTTTTCGTTTTTGCTCAAGTGTGCATTTTTGGGGTTCATCCATGTTACTACACAAGGCCCTGGTTCTCCCATGTTTGGTGCTGTGTAATTTACCATTACATAAATCTGCTACAAGCAGACTGAAGCAAAAATACAAACGTATTTTTCCATTCATCAGTATTTAGGTTGCTTTCCATTTTTTTGCTTTCCTAAACAAGGCAGTTTTGAATGCCCTTGTCCCTGTCTCCTGGTGTTTGTATATGAAAGTTTCTCTAGACCAGGAGTTGGGCAAACTTTTCTGTAAAAGGTCAGATAGTAAATATTTTAGGTTTTGTGGCTCTCTGGCTTCTGTTGCAATGACTTAGCTCTGCCATTGTAGCTAGAAAGCTGCCACAGACCGCATGTCATGGAGTGGCTGTATTCCAGTGAAACTTTACCAAAACAGGGAATGGGCAAGACTTGGCTCACAGGCCATACTTGACCAACTCCCGATCTAGGCTTTGTGCTGCGTTGTAGGATACGCACAGTTTCGTCTCTCCCAGGGGTTGCTAAATTGCTTCCCAAGTGACTGTCTATAGCTCTGCTGCTTTGAGAGCATCTCCCACGGTTATTTGAGGGTGGCCACGTGTCTGTGCCGTCCTTGGCGAGTTTTAACGAAGCTCTCCTGTCCCTTTGCAGAGCTGCATGCTTCTGGGAGGCCGGAAGACCACGGACATCCCTTTGGAGGGCTACCTGTTGTCTCCAATTCAGAGGATCTGCAAGTACCCGCTCCTCCTTAAGGTGAGACATTCACCCGACTCCTCTTCTGTATTTGAAGTGACAGAAAACCCATTGGCAAAACATAAAATTTGTTAGTTCAAGTAGCTGAGAAATCTTGCAGTGGTGTGGGCTTTGCGCTGGCGGGATCCAAACCGGGACCCTGTTCCTTTCTCTCCTGTTCACCCTGCTTTCTGCTATTCGGATTTATTTTCAGCGTGATAGCTGATGGCCGTAGTTACTCTGGCCTCACATCCTGATAAGTTTAAAGTCAGGGGGAAAGAGTGAACCTCTCTTCTAACAGCTGAAGAAAGTCCTGAGATTCATTGAGGCTCTGGCCGTCTGTGGCCAGGGGAAGGTCATATTCCAAATAGTTCGGGCCTGAGTCATGTGCTTTGACCTGGATCAATCATTTGAGGCCTTTGCTTGAACCATTTATCATAAATGCTTAGACCTGTGCTTTAACTCTGAACCAATCACTATGAGCTGGGTAGTGCTGTGCTCTGATTGGCTGAGACATGGTCCGTGCCCTACTGTGATCCAGTAACAGTGAGTAGCAATATTGTATTCTTTTTTTAAATTTTAATTTATTATATCTTTTTTAATTTTTTTTTTCCTTTTCTGCCTCGAAGGGGAGTTAATACAGTTGTGTATTGTGTTCTGATTGGCTGAAATCTGGGTCAGGTTCTTCACTCCTGAACCAATCACTCTAGCAAGGGAGCCCTAATTGGCTCATACTTGGGTCATGTGTTCCAACCTTAACCAATCACTGGGTTCCCCAGGCTGCAAGCCCTATGAGTGGGGACTGGTGGACCCTCTCACTAAAGTCTAGGCCATTTGTGAAAGGGGAGATGGGGAAGCGATAGGTGCTGGTGGGCAACCCACAACCATCCACACACACTTGCTGTTCTTCCCTGCCCAGCCACCCCTGGCTTAGTCTCGGTTGGCAGAGCAGGGGGAGACTTGCTGCTTGTGTGGGGATCAAGAGTCTTGATTCTCAGCTTTGGGCTGGCTGCTGGGCAGATTGGGAGCTGGGCGATGGCTCCGCCGCCTGCTGCTGCTCTCAGCCTTTGAAAATAACTGAAAAAAGTGGCTGTTGGCTGGAGCCTGTCCTGGCTCTGTCCTGGAGGCTGTCCTTATGTCTGACAGCTGTTTCCCGGGTTCCCTGCTGGTGGGTTAATTGGGCTGGTGGGACCTCATTCATGCACCTGCTCATGGGGCCACGAGCATCCTTGCTCCATGAACTGGAAGGGAAAGGGGAGGGGAAGGGCACTGGGGGATTCTTGAACGTGGCTTTCTGCTAGAGAAGGTGGGTGGCACTTGAGTCTCTGAGCTGGAGCAGACCCTGGGGCCATCAGCTCTGCCCATGAACACAGGTCTTTAACAGTGCAGCCATGGGGGTGGGCCCAGTTCTCCCCGGGATCTCAAAGGGGACTTTTGCAGTTGTTCTTGCCATGACTTTGGTTCCACATGGGTGTTGGAAATGCTGTAGCTTCTCACCTTGGTGTGGAAGAAGCTCCAGGTGGGACTTGTAGAGAGGTAGCCTGCGAACCAGACTGGGCCTGCACATGTGCTTCATTTGATCTGTTTGGTGTGTTTCAAACTTGGATTAGTTGCAGGCATTTAAGAGGCAGAATACTATAGTGGTTTAGAGATAGGGCAGGCAAAACTGTGGCCTGTGGGCCAGACCTAACCCATGGACTGTTTTTGTACAACCTATGAGCTAAGGATAGTATTTTCCATTTTTTAAAGAGTTATTTGAAAAACCCAAAAAATAGAAGAGTATGCAACAGAGACCGGATGTGGCCAGCAAAACTTAAAATATTTGCTCTCTGGTCCTTTACAGAAGAGATATGCTGAGCTCTGGATTAGAGCCAGGCTTAGTAGACACAAGCTGTCTGGGTTTCGATCCTAGCTGTGCCATTCCCTAGCTGTGTGACCTTCTGTAGAAGTCACTTCACTTCTCTGTGCCTCGGTTTCTCATTTGTAATACAGGGTTTGTGTGAATAGTACTTAGGGGATTGTTATGATGAATAAACATGTACTTAATTCTAACAGTAACTCAGTCACTGTGATTAGCCCCATTTTGGAGGTGAGGCAACTGAGGCACAGAGAAAGAAAGTGACCCATGGACGGCCACACAGCAGGTAAACAGTAGGAACTGTGATTTGAGCCTGGCAGTCTGATTGCAGGTACTGCCCTGACCATACGGATATACTGCTTGTCGAGAAGCATTTTGGGGAGTTAAACTGCTAAAGTGCCTGGGGATCAGGGAAGTCACCCTTCTTAGTTCCTTAAATGGGGTCTAAGAAGGTCGGTGGCCCTGTGTTTTGTGGCCTGGTGGCTCATCTGCTCCTTCTTCCCTGGGTTTCAAAACCTTAAGCGTCTGACCCATGAGAAGAACCACCAGCAGGCCCCAGGGCTGAGCCGAGGTTTGGTTTCTGGATCTTGGGAAAGTCCCCGCAGGCCCATGGAGCAGCAGCTTCCGGAATCATTTTAACAACCGGTGGGGCTGGCCCTGTGCGAACGGTGGACTCTGAGCGCCAGGGTAGGCCCAGGCATTTCCGGGGCCGGCTCACATCTCTTCAGGGGCCAGAGTTGGGTCTGGTGGGATTCTTGGGTTCTGGGTTCCCAGGAGCACAGAGAGAGCAGGGGCAGAACCGCTGGGCGGCTGGTGGAGGAAACGGCCCACTGGATAGGCGACGGAGCGGCTGTGGGTTTGCTCTTCTGCCCAGAGGGCTGTTTACACTGCCCGCTTGCCGCGCGGGAGGCAGGGAGGCAGGCTGTTTCCTTGGGCCCCAGCTGTGTTTATTGAGGGGGCGGGCGCTCGCCGGGGGACCAGCCAGCAGGGCCTTAGATGGGACATGCCATGATCTCTCAGAGTGTCCTGGCCTTTGGCACCCGCGGCCAGAACGTTTGCATCAGCAAACAGCCGGGACTGAGGGCGACTCTTATAATCCGCGCCCCCCCAGTTCCTCCTTTCTGTCACATTTTCCAGTGGATTTTCAAAGATGATCCCATGAGCTTGAGCAGCTGAGCTCAAACCCCGACCTGCCCCTTGGCCCTTCCCGCTTCTGATGCCCGCGCAGGTGTCCTGCAGCCGCTGGCCCCGTGTTGGAGCCGAGCTCTGACTCGGGTGGGTGCACGGGGTCAACGGCCTACGGAGGAAGAGGGAAGAGGCGAGAATGAAAGCCTTTTTGGGAACAGCCCCAAAAAGCTGAACTTGAACATTGCCTAAGAATAGCCGGAACGTTCTATTTCAGCTCTTTGGCCCAGGCCCGGGATAGACAGTTGGCATTTCGGGCTTTGTTGAGTTTTCCATCGATGTTTCCAGGGAAATGATTCGGGTTTGGGGTGACGCCTCTGGGGCACAGCTGGCGGGACCTGCCCGCCACTGACCTTTGAGCTGTCTCCTGGTGATGCCCAGATCTCGTCGCAGCACCTACTGTGTGCCAGTTGCTGGCGCCGCCTGGGCTCTCAGTCACGAACAAGACAGACCGGGCCCTGCCCCTCAGAGCTTCCGCTCTCGGGCCGGCTCGCCGAGGGCCTGGAGAGGGGCGGGAGTGAGGGCGGCCGCCGGGGCAGGGGCGGCGCTGGGGCCAACCAGAGGGTGCTTGTGCTGTCCACAGGGGACGGCTGCCACCTTCACCCCTGACTCTGCGGCCACTTGTTCTCGGTCTCTTGCTGCTGCCTCGTCTCCTCGACCTCCGAGCACAGGTGGCCCTGGGCTCAGTGCTTAGCCCCTTAGGCCTTTTCTCTACCGAGACTTGCTTCCGTGGTGGCCTCGTCCACTCTGTGGCCTTTTTCTTTTTAAGTAATATGTTCAAGGGCTGCACAGCCATCAGCACAATAAGTTTAGGACATTTTCATCACTCCCAAAAGAAAGCCCAGCCCATTAGCGGGGGCTTGCCCCTCCCTCCTCCCGCTGCTGACAGCCACCGCTACTTTCTGTGTCTGTAAATGTGCCCGTTCTCGGTGGTCTGTGCAAGTGGAATCACGGAGCATTTGTCCTCTTGTGACTGGCTTATTTCACTTAGGGTGACGTCCCCAAGGCTCATGTGTGCTAGAGCGTGTGTCACTACCTCATTCCTTTCTGTGGCCGAGTCACATTCCGGCGTGTGGCTGGGCCAGCTTTGTGTATCCATTTGCTCGCTGATGCACATTTGGGCGGTTTCCACTTTGCGGCCGCTATGGGCGTATCCAAGACCAAATGCCCGGAGCACCCCAGACCATGTCCCCTCCCCACTCACCCTTCGTCCCCATCTCAGTAAATAGTCCTGCCTTCTGGCTGCTCAGGCCGAACCCCGAGCCTCCCTTTGGCGCCCCTCTTTCTCTCACCCCCACGCCCCATCCTCGAGGAAGTCCGGGGGCCCTGCCTTCAGGGTCCGTCCAGAGACCAGCTGTGTGTGACGCCCCCGCTCCTCCTTGCTCCTGGGCCATGGCCTCAGCCCCCAGAGGGTCTCCCTCCCTTTGCCTTCGTCCTCTGCAGCTGGTTCTCACCTCCCCAGCTAAACCGAAGTCACTTCTTGTCACTCCTGCACAGGCTCTCGCTCACTCACGATAAAGTCCACATTCCTCCCCGTTGCTGTCTACAAGGCCCTACGTGATCTCATCCCCGTTTCCTCCCTGACCTCCTCTGCTCAGCCACGCTTGCCTCTTTGAAGTTCTTAGAGCATAACAAGCAGGTTCCTGCCTTAGGGCCTTTGCACTTGCTATTTCCTCTGCCTAGGACGTTATTACCCCGGATATGCTGAGGCTCACCCCTCGTCTTTGTCAGGCTCCTGCTGCTCAGATGTCACCTCCTCTGAGAAGCCGCCTCTGACCACCTCTGCTATAGAAGAGCTGCCTCTGCCGTTCTCTGTCCCCTTCACCACCCCTCAACAGCTCACGTTCTGTGCTGTAATCTGGGTGCACTGACTGATCTTCCCTCTCCCCCGTTAGGATGTCAGCTCCTGAGAGGCATGGATCGGGGCCTGTTTCCCCTCCCTGGTGCCTGGAATGGTGCCTGGCATATGGCAGATACC